ACTCACAAATCTGGAAATCCTTGGATAGTGGAGAATCTGAAACTCAGGCGATGATGGTGCCACACCACCTCCTCTCCCCTACCCACTGTGGCCACGGAGGGGAAATACTCACGAAACACACACATGGAAATATTTGCTTGTGCAAGGTAAGATGAAATAGAAAAAAAAATTCTTAACCTTTTTCAAATTGACATGAAAAAATAAATCCGTGTGGAACAAAGAAGAAAAGAAGTACTTTTTGTTAAATCACCAACTTGTATTTACATCTTCAGGTTGTACTGCAAGATTTGTCAGGTCCTTCCCCTGCACTTTTGCAGTGGACAGTTGGGGAAAACATATATCACTTTTTTACAATTTCAACACTACAAAGCAAGGGGAGGGTGGAAAAAAAAAAATCAAAGGAATTTCAGCAGTTGACTTAACTGCACCATCAGCACGAGCCTCTTTGGAAATGTCCCTTCAAACCTGCCACAGAACAAAAGCCTGGTTCACACTCCAACTGAGAGCTTGCGCAGCTTTAAAATCATAGTGTGATTTTCACCACTGTATACAATTTAAGGAAAATAAAATTATACTGATATAACAGAAGATGCTTTATACTGGAATACATTATTTTCTGTATTAGAGATCTTCACATGGATAACTGCCTCAGTACAACAGGGTTTCTATAAATTTGGAGAGATCAAACAGCACAGATTTCATGCAGACAAGGATGAAGACTGGAGCTGTTCAGTAACGAAGAAGTATTCAAGGCCTCTGCCACACAGGCACCAGAAATTTTCGAGTCCACTTCTTGCAAAGGCTGAAGTTGAAGACACTATCTGCAAAGGTGCTGGAGAGACCCACGTCCGTGGGCTAACAAATGGCACATTAAACCGATACTGACATTGTACAACTGGTTCCTTTCGACCAGTTTATGGTTTCTTACCACTGAAAAGAGCAGAGTTGGCAATTTTTCTTGGAAGTCAAAGCAGTGGTACAAATTGCCTAATAACACATGCAAGTGCTGTCAAAAAGCTCGAAGGAAGCAGCTCATTCGGCTTCCCGACACACAGGGCAAAGCCCACAGGAATCCCGAGGCTGCAATTTTTTTTTTATCCCAAATAGGCTTGGTTCTCCAAGGTAGTGGCCTCTAACCACTCTACTATTAAAAGACCTTACAAAGTCTCTCATTGAAAAAGGTTCATAAATCTTAGAATTACTCTTATAATTGCAGAGTCACTGAGGTTCATAAGGATGCTCAAGTATCTTCCTTGCAGAGTTCCCCATCGTTACAAATAGAAACAGCACTTTAAGGAAAGAAAAACAACAAAAAACCCAAAACCAACAAACAAGAGGAAACAAGCACTAAGGGTCTTCTACCAAGATGGCCTTGTGAACCTGCACCCAGCCTAGATCTGATGCCCAAACAGTATCTTAGCAAGAGAGCTACAACAAGATTTTCAAAAAAGCTGCTTGGCCAACACAGTCCGTAGCTGGATGCCCTGAGCCAAGCTGTAGCTCTCTCAAGCCAGTCCTACTAGAGTTCAACAGAACACTGTAGTTGATCAAAGATGAATCAAGTCCTCCTTATCTTACCCTAAAAGAGAAACAGACAAAACACCTAGGGGATCATTACATTTACTATCAGAAAACAGCGTTTGCTTTGAGGGCAAGAGATAGCTGAAGCCGAAGCTTTTTTTCTCCTATGCCATATTTTTCTTCATTTGCTGTATTTTCCATACTGCTGAACAGAAGCCACTAGTAATTATGACTTCAATTAGTCTAATCTTTAAAGGCAAATTACACCACTTATCCCAGTGGAGACATGTTTTTAAATAAAACATGAAAGTAACACAAATAAAAATGGACAGAAATCTAATCAAGCAGGTCCTACTCTTAACAAAATTAAGAAAGAATAATCCCATCATCATAAAAACAAATAGCTTTGGCAATATTTATAAATATGAATATTATAGAATAAAGAGATCTCTGCATGTGTACTTATGAAGATCTCCATCGATTCAAACAGCTGAAGTTAGGGCAGTGTTTGCTTCGGTTCCTAAGTCGTATGCGCAAAAACCAGCCCCCTCCGCACCGACCCCCCAATTAGCCTCCCCCAACTTATAGCTAAGGTCAAACATCAGTGGAAAGGGGCTAAAAGTGATAAATCTGTGGCATTAACTACCGCACTCCTTTTAATAGAATCCAGCATAAACTCAAAACAGCCTCGCGCTCAGCCTGAACCATTTATCTGAGACAAAAATGTCTTCTTGACAAAAAACAGATCTCCTTTAATAAAAGTGAGGCAGACAGTATTATGCTCTGAGGGAATCCTGTTGCTCTTTTTATATTTATATATAAAAAGAATTCTTCTGTAATACACGTAGATATAAAAAGTGAAGAAAATTGATGCCAAATATATGAGTGTTAGAACATCAAATTAGCCTTTGTGAAAGCTGTTCTTCTAAATAAAAGCACTGGTGTTAATGACCAGTGGAATTACATACGTATTTAAAGTTTTATTATTGAATACGCTTTACCCTTTCAGCCTTTTTGCTTTACACCAAAGTTTCACAACAATTCTGGCTCCCGATAAGCATCTTTCTTTGGTTCAATTGTTATTAACTCCTTACCAAATGAAAATGAACTTTTGCAACTGCAGCAGCCTGCAGGTTTTTGTTCTGAAAATTCCTCTTTAATGCAATAAAAAGTTAACAGGGAACAGAAAAAAGCACCAATCACATTTTAAAACATAAAAAGACCAACATGTTATCTTATTTTTATAAGTTAATTTTTTAAATATTTCTTCAAGTGTTTTCATATGTTTTGGATGATCTGTGAAAGCAACACCATGATATTTCATCAATCACATCGCTCTATCAAAAGCATTAAGAATCAAGTTTTGTATTTTTAAATGACCACATATTTCTCTGTCAACTACATGTTAGATGTTTAACAGATTTACATTCAGTCACAAAACTGGCGACTTTCGAGAAAGGTCATTATTGCAGGCTACACGTGGGTGGCCTAGTTGATGAATTAATTAGGAATAGAGAAACAAAGGTCGAAAGAAAATAATTTTTCTTTAAAACTCAAGCCACTAAAGCCTTACACATTTAATTCCAATTACTGAAAAAGAGGACATCTGTACAGCTTTAGTTTTATCCATTTCAACTAATTAACAGTTTCAAATAAATAGCCATTACAGCTAGCTGAAAAGTTTGCTAACACTTCATTAGAAGGAAGTTTAAACAAGCACACAACCTTGTTAACATATTTTGGTTTACCACAAAGTTACTTGGGCATCTCGATAATTACTTTTATTCCCTTTACAAATATCTCATGACAGCCAACTTCAATAATTCTACATTCCTTTGCATTTACTTAATTACTTCATAATTCAAATTTTCTTAAAGTACCACCAGTTTTGAAAGTAGAGGCTCTCATATAAACAACTGCTTGGTATGAGATTTTACTACAATGTCCACATTCATAAGGTTCATTAAAAATATTTTCCCTGCAGATTTAATCCTGCAAGATTACATTAGAAGATTTCTTTGGTCTCTAATTGTGTACTTTTCAGTGGTAACCCAGCATGTCAACCTCTGCCGTAGTAGCACAGCACATTTCATGAAATGCATTGAGTTTCATCTCGCATTCATTATACTGGATAGCTTTGAAATAGCAGATATAATTTTAAAAATAGTGAAAACTTAAAGCTGTAGTTAGTCCTCCTGGCTTACATCCAAAACACGTGCCTTAATCACCCCACTGGCAGATAAATCTATATGTTCATACCCATGCACAGAGCAGTTTACTCCATCTTTAAAAACTGTGTCGCTATGCTCAAAGTAAACGGACAAGCACATGCATCATTGCTTTGCAAGCATTTATATATATTTAAAAAAAAAAACCCTGCTCCCTCACTGAAAAAAAGTGCTTATTTCTCCTTCAAAAGGACATGCTTGCTTCCTTGCCTTCTTTTTATATTTTCTTTGATTTTTTAAAACACATTTGTTCCTTTTTTTACTACACGTTAGCTTAAAGATATGCTTTATTACTTGGAAATTGTTTTATTTCATTACAACACCCCAATTCCAAGTTAGGCTGTGCAGGTCCATAGAAATCTTTATTGACGTGAAGGAGGCGAGTTATTCCTTTTACATTAGGAGTCCGTGGAAGATAAGAAAACATTTCCTTTCTGCTTCTGAAATTCCCCTCATTTACGACGAGGCTGACAACCTCTGGAAACCATACATGCGCACACAAACATATTTACAAATCTCTGATGAAAAGGGATGCAAGGCTTTCAAACTGTGAATGCAGTCCAGAAAACAAGAATTACTCCTTCTTGTAGTTTCCCAGTCAGCTGAGGAAGACTGATGCTGCGAACAGGCACAGCCATCCATCAGCATCCCCAGCCAGCAGAAACAAATATCCCAAACCCGGCATCTTCATCACAGGAGAAAGCAGAAAAAAAAGAGTGTTTCTTTGTACCCACCTGGAATCTGTAAAACTGGGATGACAAACCAATAACCTTAAAAAAATCACTGCTACACAGCATCAGTAAAAGTGAGACTAACCCGCGCGAGGCACTCGCCACTAAACCAATAACCTTAAAAAAATCACGGCTACACAGCATCAGTAAAACTGAGACTAACCCGCGCGAGGCACTCGCCACGCTGCTGAGGCTGCGCTCTGCGTTAGCCCATCTGCTCCATCGCTCTTCTATTTCAACCAAAGTGTCGGGAATAATCTCGTTTGGATGACTACTATCAGCAAGCCAACTTGCCACAGAAGAGTAAAATAATTTCAGAAATTAATACAATGAGGAAGAACGTAGGCAGCTCCAACAGCCCCCCAGATCCCAGATCAGCACGGTGCTTAGCCACGAGTTCACGTGGCAGCAGATGAGCCATCCCATCGGGTGCAGTGAGATGACTCACTCCTTTAAAGGTCAGACTTGCTAAATCGCTTTCCTGAACTGAAGCTTCACTCAATGATGCTAGAAAAACCAGCCAGGACCGCTCAGCCAGGACAAATCCGTGCCATCTAAACTAGCGCGTCGTTTCTTGCAGGCTCGCCTGCTCCTGCCAGCACACAGCGCAGGAGCCCTGCCCGGCTCCTTGGGACCAGGCAACTCACACAACTGGAAAAATCAGGATCTGCCACGTTGAAATGAGGCTGGCTGCACAAAAACTTGGGTTTCCACCTGGCAATGGAAACACAGCTGGAGCAACGGGCAAGAACTCCGTGGGGACTGCAAGCACACAACACTCCTTACATCCGAGGGTTCCTTACTGGGGCAGTGCTGAATCACAGTTTTTATTTAGACTATGTGTAAAATGTATTTATTTCTAATCAATTTTATTTTTGCTAGATGCACATGTTAGTAAGAAAACATTAGTAAAAAGTCTTCTGTACCAAGAAAAATCTAAGAATGCAAAAGAAAGATTATTTTATTTTTCCTGGAAAAAAAAATACAATGCTAATTCTGAAAGGAAATCTCATAATGAAAAAGAAATTATTAATGCAATAGCATTTTAAAACTTAAGATCACAAAAATATGAATGTGAGACATACAAGCAACTAGGATATCTAACTTAGAGCCTCCTTCCCTGGAGATTCAGGACAAAAATTATTTTACTGGAACTCATGGCTTATTTATGTTACAGCAGCAGTATTTGGACAAGGCAAGCGTTATCATTTTTACAACTACTTTTCCATAGTGCCCTTTAGGCTTGATAGCTCCCTACTATTGTTAAGATCAGAGGACAAGTTCATAAAACCTCTAAATCATACATAACAAGACTTAAAAACCTAAGATATATCATTTTTTTCCCCAGAAGAATCAAAGCACAGACAATGACCATCAGAAATAATGACCACATTAAACAAGGCTTCATGAGAAATTTATGAAGCAAAATTTTTCTTTTTTTTTTTTTTTTTTGATGGGGGGCGGGAAATATATTAAGAGCCAAAAGGCCTTTTTTCCAGGACACAAAAACAAACCCCAATGGGTTATTTTAAGACCTGCCTCTAAGATCTTAAGTTAAATAAATTCTTTTTTCCATTATCTTCTTTTCCTTTTTTTAATTTTAATTCTGCAAGAAAAGGCCTGAAATGTTATATGAACAATCCCCTTTCAATGTAACGTTACTTGTCTAAGTATTTCCAAAACTAATTCTCAGCAACAACCACAGCTCAAACAGCATACTGGGGTTTTTGTTTGTTTTCAAGCAAAACATTTTATTTTCCTGTCAGGCAAGAAAAGAAAATAACTTGACTACTGATTTGTCATTAACTACTAACTTACCTGCAACAAGCATCGTAAAGACAGGGGAAAACAAGAAAAAATAATTTTTTTCTTTTTCAAATTCAAGAAATGTGAACATTAGAAAAAAAAAAACTACAAAACAGTTACAGAATAATGAAATGTATGGGATATCTCCTGTGTCATGAAGACAGAACAAAACACCAATTTAAAGTTTGTGTGATTACGGTATGGATTTTTTAATAAATTATTTTGTCTGACACACTGTGCTGTGTATCATTAGTAAAACAGTACATATTGCCTCACAAAACAGCATCGCGCTTGATTACATTCTAGTTTTAAAATTTATGTAAAATTATAAGCTTTTATACTTACTATCCAACTTCAGTCATCATCTTTTTCAAACTGGAATTCAACAATTGATCGTATTTCTAGACAATCACATTTTCCAGCCACATTATATATTAATAAATATAATCAGACTACATATACATTTCAACTGATCAGCATAAATCAATGTCAATTATGAACAAGTGTTAGAGAGACAAAATGTGACACTTCACACTTGATCTTGTCAAAGTGTCACATAAATATGTTCTAAGGACAATATATATTTTGGCTTCATTTCAATCTCAAATAGGACTTGATCACAGCTGTGTGTGCCTGGAGAAGTTTTTGGCGTAGTAAAAATCTCATCTTTTTATTTTGCAAAAACAGAAAATACATTTCCCTGAGATTTGTGTGAAAATTAATGCACACTTTCTGCGCAAACTGTATTACCTGCCCTTCTGCAACTGTCTCAGTATCAATGATAGTGACGATTCCAGGCACCAGAGGACTTCGACGAACGTTGCTGTGAGCTAGAATTTCTTCTTCGGTTGCCCCTGAAGGCAGCGTCCCTGTCAGCTGCGTAACTACTTTCCCAACCATTGTAAGTCCAGTCTTTATCGTCTATAAAAAGAAAAAGAACCAATAAATAATGTTTAGGGCTGTTTTGTGGATCTATCTTGAATTTTTTCTCAACACAATTAATATGACTAGATTGCACACAACAGAAGCACACGAATGTTCTTATAAGTTGTATGTAAGCTGCAACAGGCTGTACGTAACAGAAATATCTTTAAAAAATTTACCATCCTATCAATTGGAAATATACACTTTCATTTTTGAATTAAATGCTCCCAAAATATTCCTGAAAAAAAGAAATATTTTCATGTTGTCTAAATATTACAGTTTTTTCTTTGTTATTTACTTATTCCAAGAGGTACAGGGCACGGGGAGTCAGAAGAACCAAATGCTGAAGCCAAGATGGGTGTGCGTGGAGAGCAGTGTTATGCAGAGAAATAAATACTTCGAGCCCCTGATGGTTAATGCTGAAATGGTTGCGCCTTCGGCACAAGCGCAAGAGACAGGAGTTTGGCCTTTGATAGATAAAACAAACACATTCATTTGTTTCTCACCAATTAAAACTGAAGATGGGACTCAAACCCATCGAGATTAAAAACGCCATCCTCCAGGTACCAGAAAGGCCAGCTCTGTACCAGGAACACGTGTATCCCATTACCGATACTGGGCCTTGCCATACTCCGCAGGTTTTCCAGACATGGGTTTGACAACATATTCATTGCACCAGCTTTTATTATCTAAAGATGCTGAAGATTGTTTTTATGATGTTTTATTTTATTTGGAGAAAGAGGGACAGTACACACAGTAGGAGAGACAGAGATTTAAAGATAAACGATTCAAACTACAACTTTAAATATTTTCTCCTTGAATCAAGGACTGTGCCTTATTTGCCTACAAAGAATCGAGCAGATTTATTAGGCAATATAAATAAGAAATAGCAAAAGGGATCAGAATGGAATGACACTATAACAAGCCAATTCTTAACTAAAAGGACAAGCTAAGCTGCCTGCTAAATTGAAAAGGAAAAAAAAAAATGTACAGATCACAGGCTGAAACCAAGAAGCAGCCACAAATCAATTGCAACTGCTTTGTTTAGTGCTAAAATCTCAAACTGCAGTGATTAGAAAACACATTAGTGTTCATCAATTAGCAGCCAAACGTTTGTTTTAATAATTCATAGGAAATGACTTACACAAAGTCTGTTAGTGTGTTGTCAGGAAAACCTCTGAAGGGCCAACAGAATTAGGCGCCACACTGTATTGATGGCAATATCCAGCCAGGAAGCCTGATTAACCTCTGAGATGCCTCAGCTGATGTACTCACCCCATTAATGCTAATGGAGATACTACCACTTAAAATCGAGCCATGCCTTTATCATAGGAATGTCTTTGGGGTTTCAAGTCTTCAGTAATATCCTGCCATTTGTTTCTTATTATTTCTTTTTAGACTCAGATACAACAAGTGAGAATAAAACAAATTTTAACAATGGCAAATTCAGAAGACTGAAAAACGTAACATAAAGCAGACAACACTATCTGAGGAAGAGACCTAAAATAGACCCAGTGCCATCACAAGAACGCATTTCAGACACTTCCCTTACAAAAACTGTTCAGGCAGTTTTCTGGCCAATAGTTACAATTGTATAAAATACACTGGTAGTTTATACAGCAGGAAAGAGAAATCAGTATAGACGTACTATACGGAAAAATACCCATGCAAGTTAACAAGAATTGTAATTGACCTATTTCAGAAAGTATCTTTAATATTCTGACTTGAGAAATTGGGTGACAAAGTGCCAAGTAGAAATTTACAACTCTCTAGAAAAAAATTAACATGCTTATCTAGCCAAATGAATTACTGTTACACACCAGACTGTGACTGCAGGACCACTGAGGAGTAATAGGTGTACAAAGATGTGGCCGAGGCCATTAGCTCAGAAATATCAGTGCAAAACCATTACGGCACTTACTTCTTTGTGCTGTGTGTATATTTGCAAAAACTTCTCTGGTAATCTTTAACCTTTCCCATGCCATATCAGCTGTCCCCTCCATCCATTAGAGCTAATGACCTTGCTCTCACATAAGCTGTTACTACTCATTAAGAAGTTATCAGGTAACAAGAGAAAACAGATGCAGCCTTTGCTAAATCACTTCACTACTAGAGGATTAAAAGATACAGAGAAAGAATCAACTAAAGAAGTTATGAGGTGAGAAGAACTCAGTTTATAATTTGATGCTAGACATTCGACAGACCAAATACATTTTAAATTAAATAGCTTCAAGTTTGCACTGTCCCAGTTCTTTGACACCGACTGGAATCTGCCAGTGCACACTCAGTGAAATTTTCTTATAAATAAAATTAAAATACTTGATCTGGTCCCTTTTGTAAGCAATGATGCATGTTGTGCAAACACACAAATTATTTGTGTGCTCACGTGTACCCTAACTACTTAAAAATAAGACTGTTCACATTCAAATATAAAGACAGATATATATTTAATTAAAATAAATGTATGCACTCATACCTCATTTAATTGAAAAATAAGTACAACTTTAATGAGATGAGAAAAATTAAAATGCATCATTCAGTGCCTGTTAGGCTGTTTTGTTCCAACAAAAGTCTTACATCCTTTTAGTGACAAAACAATATATTGTTCCTGTTTCTCATAATAAATACATTTTACATGATTTATTTGTTTACAAATGAAAAATCTATAGAAAGCAGCGATATCAAAAAGATATGCCTTGGTAACGAACAATCTGAAAGCCTCATGGTTAGTTTGAACAAAATGAACATACAATCAATTCTAGATTCAAGTTCAAACTAAATGTTTGTTGAAATGTTCATGTTGTGCAAAGATGTTTCCCCTTCCTGCTCTTGCCACTTATTCTGAAAAGAAGGAGGACAGGGAAGAAACCTAGTAGGAAATTCATCTCAAACAGCACGGCAAGTTTGCCTGCTGGGGATACATCAGGACGGGGAAGGTCTACACGAGGCCCAGCTGAATGGAGAGTGAGCTGAAATGCAACTCACCCAGCGACACGGCGGGACCCAACCTCTCTTCAACAAGACATCAGAAAACAACCAAGCACAGAAATATTACAATGTATTTTCCTAATTCCCCTTCCTTGCGGCATCCAAAATGGATAAATAGGGATAATTATAATGAGCATGTCCCAGTTGGATTCTTACCTCAAACCAAGACCTGAATATCCTCCCATCACTAATACTGTTAAGCAGTAATGGGGTTTACTCTGAAAGATTTTCTACTGTGTTTGTTCAACTAGAGTGAAAAGACTATCCCATAAGAAACAGTATTTTCATTTTTCCAAATGAAACGCATCAATTTCTGTCTTTGTTAAACATTAAGTTAAATTGGAATCTTGACACATTGTCTATTTCCAGAAATTTCCTGCTTGGTTGAATTACAGAAAACATCAGAGCTTTTTAGAACATGAACAGACAGAAAGCAACCTGACAAATGTGGGGAAATTAAAATAAGAGACTGAACTGAAAAAAAATGCTTGTGTTTTTCCAGCAACAGCAAAAAGCACTGCTCTTGCAAGATGCATCTAAGAAGAAACAGGAAAAAGTTCAACATTCAAAATAAAATCCTTCTAGGAATTATAAAATCAAATGGGAAGATGCCATAAAGGAATTCTTTATAATGTTACCAGAATAACAAGAGTTTTGGCACTCTAACATGACCAGTTTTCACTTCTGTGTTCTCAGTTAACAGGGGAGCTTCTGGCTCCCAAGTTACTTGATTAAGGAGGAAATTTATTTGCTCCACAAAGTATAGTACACAGCAGAACATCACACTGAGGACAAACCCACTGCTCATTACCAGGACATTCAAAAACATTTCTCATCAAAGGGAATACCACTAAAGTAAATATCCTGTACTGCCACTGAGACCTTCTATGAGGATCGGAAAGGTAATTCTAAAAAGTTACCCTGTTGAAATTATTCTGGGCTCCCAGCTTTATCTTTCTCCTTCCTATGAAGGTTCTTTCACTTCCTTCAATATGAAATTGGAACCCAAGAGAAGAGGCCAGTTGGTTTTTCAAAGTTATCCGTGCTATAAAAAAAACATGTTAATAATGCTGAGATTGAAGGAGTTTGGGGAGATTCCTCCCCTCCCTTTCTTTTTCCTGATGGTGAAAGTACTCAAAGAGATACAGCAAATTTCAGATGTCTTCAGAAGAACGTCAATCCAAATTCTCCTCAACAATGTAAAAAACTGTGATTTTTCTCCTGCTCCAGCCACAGTGAGACTGTGTCCAAAACCATGCTGGTGGACTATGTTTGTTTTTATGTTTTGTTTTTACATGAGATGGCATGCCCTGTCTCTCTTTGTGGGTTCTTGTAACTGTTGCTTTCTTCAGTGACGCTGAGCTTTCTGCTCTGTGCTGTCATTTAATTCCTATTATTAGATTTGTTTTGTTGTGCGTATCAGAAATGAAAAGGGTGGTGGTTACAATGAAAGCTTGTAATCAGCACGAAGTTTGCCAGACAATGCCAAAACTCACTTCGTGTGTGTGCGTGTACGTGTGTGTGAGAAAAAGAAATTCCTTGGCAAAATGCTGCAGGCAAGTCCTCAAGGAAAGGAGCAGGGTGGAGGGGGAACAGTAAAACAACAATACTGCATACTCTGGCTCATTTAAGATTTTTCCAAGCTATGGTCTTCTTTCTGATACTATGAAAACCCAGACGTTTTTCTGAAAACAGAGGGATATTATATCATCTGAACTAAGAAAACTAGGCAATGGAACCTGCATGTGAAGAGCCATTAATAAACTCTAACCCTCAAAGAAAGCTGTCAGGTAATTAACTAGCTCCAGCACTGTGCTGTCATCTTTCAGATTAAAACATCTAACGCTAGTGTGACAGAGTCCAAAAAGCACCAAGCACACATAAAGTCAGTTTTCATGATCCCAAAAGACTAATAATTCAATGTGTTGATTTCTAATCGTGTAAACTTGTAATATTACCAAAAGCCATTATACAAATCCATTTTACTACGACTTACCTATAACTGGGGTCACTACTACGAATAGCTGTTTGTAATAAATACAATCAGAACCATCAGTTCAGAAGGACAGCAGTACTTTGTGCAAAACAATGGCTACTCAGAGATTTGCAGGACCAGGACCATACGCGGGGTACTAACGCTAGCGTGTTTCTTACCGTGTCTTCCTCTTTTGTGAATGGGGGGGGGGCGATGACACACAGTACAATTCAGCAGGGAAACCCAATAATTATCTTACACGATAACCTCTCCCAGCAGCAGATGATGTACTCACTTTGGCAGCACTAATGACTGTGGCGGTGTAAGACTGAATGTTGTCTCCACAGGCTCCACCACGGGATTGATGGCATCGGATCAGCTACAAGAAGAAAGACAGCAACCAAGTAACTACTATTAAACTACACAAACCCATAACCCATTACCATAGCTCTTATTTATCATGTACAGTGGTGTGTTTTTTCCTACAAATAGCAAAAAGCCCTGCTGAGACACTTAACCCCTTTTTATAATCTTCTGGGTGCCACCCAGACTGTCGCATACTGAACTCCAGTTTTCAATTACAAGATGAGTAGTCACTAAGAATTCATAAACTTTGAAATGGTGGGATTTTTGGTCTGGCAGCAATACCACAAATAAATTTAAATAAATATAATCAAAAGCTTTAGCCATGTATATGTAACATTAAATATCTGACATTCTAAGAATCCAAGTGCGGCTTTCCCCTCCTTTTTATGACTGGCAAGCAAAGAAATGACAAAGGAAAAGAACTACTTTAAACTTTACATTTAATAGATTACAGGAACGTAGATGGGGCTTACTCTATATTGCCTTCCTTCAAAATCTATAAATCAAACCAAGATTCTTCTATTTGCCATCAACCTACAAAAGCAGTTTTTGCCTTTGAACCTTTACAATGCAATCGGTGCTTCTGAGTAAATAAAATGGCAAAAAAACTATAAATATTTGTTGCTTAAATAGGCAACATGTTCCGTGTACAACTGTTTTCGCTAAAAGAAAACTAAAAATCACTGTAAGATGTATTTGTTTCTACAGGCTTTCCTTTCCTGCTTATATTTAAGCATCTAAATAAAAACAGTTAAACTGGGGATAAAGGGGAAGTCCACAGTGAATATACCTGGGAACACACAGGTCGTGTAAATTAGTTTGGTGATATAATTCTTGTGCTGATCAGTGGCTTCTATTTTTGGCAACAGTACTTTTAAAAATCCCAGGCTGACTGGTTAAGTTTTACAAAACCATACAGGCGGGGCACTAAAGGAAAGGCAGGCCTGAACTGGGAGAGAAATCAGTCGTGCCTGATACATTTCTCAAGTCCGCCTCTCTGATAATTTCTGCTTCAGCTATTCCAGGCACAGGTGGAAAGGAGAAAAAACATCTGCTTTGAAATAAAAACGAGGCATTAAAAATTGAATTTAAAGTTTTCAAACACTTCAAGCTTTAAATACACAATCACCTCTCTGGCCTAGGGCTGGGTAAGAACAGTGATAATTGTTTTGCTTGGGATCTATTTTCTTCTCTTGCCACTAAAAATACAAAAAATTAATCCAACATTTTCTTTTTTTTTCCTGCACCCTAACAATTTCATCAAAGCTGTTAAAAAGTGGTCATTTTTGAATGTTATTTCCTAATGTACAAAGTGCATTGCTGTGTTGTTTCATATAAACTCACTGGCTCTCTCCAGACTCAGTTTCCCCAAAGAGAATTTAGGAATCTTCATTTGCCTCCCTTTCAGAGGTGTCCGTAACGAAGTGCTTTAAACTTTTTAAATGCAAAATGGGTTTATTACTGGGCAAACTTCCTGAAAACACATGCTGATAGCTGTCTTCTCTACCTACGCTACTGACATATTTATGCCCCCTAAATTCATGAGCTTAAATCAAACGTGCATATGTGACATATATGAACACCAAAGCACAACCAGTGGTCCAAGATCAGGTCCGTCATTGTCATGCAAGTTCTCTTACTGTTTATCTTTTTCATGTAGCTTTTTTCTGAGAGTTTTGCTTTTTTTTTCCCCCCTATACATACAAAAGCTAGAATGAAATCTAGAAACAAAGGTAATTTTTTTAAATTAAACTTTTCCTTACCTTGTTTTCTGCATAAGCCAGCCAACGGCTTCCAAGAGCAATAGGATTCATGTTTGGCCCTGGACAAGGATAGCAGCCTGCAAAGTTTTACAAGGCAACATTAGGAAATATTTTGATGGCTTCTTACAAAGAATTTTATTTATTGCCAAGAAAACAGAAAGTCTAAACAAAAACCTTTCAATTGCTAATATCACTCAGTAAATGCTTGCATTTTTGTTCCTAAAGATAAGACTGTGGTTAGATAAGCTATTTTGAACAGTTAATTATGTGTAAATACTCATTTCTCCTTATGTTTGCATTTTTTAATGTTATTTTGATACAGTGGCATGAGGGAGATATTTAAAACTCTGACTGGATTGGTTCTCTATTTTCACATTTTCATTTTACTTGATTGACATCTTTCCATTAGTCAAGTTTCAGTTTGCTTCAAGCTCTTCTAGATTTTTGTGGTATGAAAAGGTGTATTGTGCTTTTGGTTTTGTTTGTAATAATTCTATGTACAAGCCCTTAGCCTCTCAAAACACCTTTGCACACACTTAAGTTTACACAGTGAGTGAATTTGTAATATATACACGTGCACAAAGATGAACATAAAATGGAGAACTCCTCCTGAGAACTAAAAGGTAAAAATACCTATGAGAGAAAGCCATTGAAAATAGGTATGAACACAAACACGGAAAGCTTAAAATGAATCAGGCCCACGTTAAATGCAAAAAACCCCCAAACCAAATCCGTCCAAAACAACAAACAATATCACACTATTAACTACTGACATTAAAAATACACAATTCTAAATTATAGAAACCAATTAGATAACGCTTAAACATAAATTAAAAGCTTAAGTAATCTATAATTAAAAGTAGCATGGTGACCCTCATCCTAATTGCTATTACTGTCCCGTTTCCATGTCCTGCTTCCCCTCCTTTGTATTTCCTCATTTTAGATGACTCTCTTTTGGGTGGCAGCTGTTCTTTCCACACCGAGGTGTAACCCTTGCCTGTACTCAGCCCTCCCATCCCACTGGTGTAGCTGAACTTCAGTATTCCAGCCCTGATGCCGTAAATGTCTGTGCTGCGTGGTTCCAGCAGGCTGATTCCAGTGGGATCCTTTGTCAAGGCAAGAGTCTGAAAGTTCAAATAGTAAAGGCACACAGATGAAGCCGCAAAGCTGTTCACTGGTGAGGGCCCTGACAACAAGATTTGAGCTTGAGCATTCAAACCTGAACTAGTAATCTAGGTCCGTCAGCCACGTGCATAACACCAGTTACTAGACCTAAATCCGTTCTGGTACACTAAACACACATATAAAAAAGAAATATAGCATAAGGGGAGAGAGAATGGGGGAAGGAGGGGACTATCAAGCAAACAGTTAATCTCCGTTTTCATCAGTTCTTAGGCTAATATAGACAATTCAGTAATTCATATTCTCTCCTTCATTGGTTGGCCAAGAAACAAAACATTTAAAAAACTTACAGACATGTGTGTCTGATTTAAAGGAGCCCTGGTTAGCTGATCCCATATCGCAGGCAGGAGCACTAAGACCAGGGCAAGAGCATTTTAGAAGACGACGTATAGCAAACAACTGCAATTTATGGCATAAAATCCAACACTGCATTCTGAGAAACAGCATATAAAAGAAAGGACACTGCTAGCTAAGCTTCTATTTCAAGAGTTGGACACAAGAGACTTTGGGGATACGGATCTACCAACCAGAGCAAGACAAAGCAAACCTGCTCGCTGCCTCCCTTTTGCAAACACCAGGGGCTCTTCACAGAGGCCCCCGAATGGTGCAGAACATTTAATGAAGACAAGAGACTTAAGTGGCACTATTTCAATGCCTGCAAAATGATGAAAAAGGTGTGTGGGAGGGTGTTAACTACAGCACATGGATGTAAGCTTAAACTGACATTTGACAATGCTTAAAGACACACTTGACAGCATTTTGTTGGGCACGTGCAGGAACAGCTGCTATGCTGCTCGTACCCTCTAAGACAAACAGCCCTTTATTTCGTTTTTTTAGAGCAGCAGAGCAGTGAGGGTATTGCAAAATTCAAGAGATGATAGCAAGCTATTTCAAAGGTCATAAAGCAATGGAAGGAGAAAAGCAGCAATTCATCCAATTAAATCCGTCTCAGGCCAGGAAAGCAAAACCAAGTGAATATTTTGTAAGGCCTTATCACTGCCTTGATCTCAGGAAGGAAAACGAATTCTGAAGAGATGATGCCACAATTGTTATTGCATTCCAGAAGTGCATAAAATGTGGGTAGCCAGAGCCTCTTAAGGAACAAAGAAAGCAAAAAAAGGTTGTAAAATGCAACCCTAGGTTGTAAATACAAACGTGTTCTTCCGATGACATTATAGATCAGGACCAGTAAGGTTTTAATGCTGACTTCTGCTTTGGCAATTCTTATCTGGGTCAGTAAAGACACACAGGGCCTCCAAACATAATTTCTTTTTCTTCCCTTTTGTGGATAAAATATAGCATTAAAGCCATCGGATGATACCCCTCATCATATAAATCTCTACAGTGACTTCAGAATCCGTCACTTGCATTTCCCAAACTCTGCAAGCACCTCGTAACATCCTCGCAGCAGAAAAAAAAAAAGGGAGTATCAGCCAACAGACACACTGCAAGGACAAAACCCAAGTAATTCTACAACCCACAACAAAAAGAAATGTCCTGCTTGGAAAAGGGAGCTGTTCTCAATTACTACAGTGAACTGAGACAAATTAAGAATTGAAAAAAGTAGTAATTTTTTATTCTTTGAATAAAAAAAATTAATCAAATAATTAAAATATTATCTTAGGAAAACTGTAACTGCCTTCCCCAAACCCCTTCCCTGAACTGGACTCGGTCAGACGCAGCGCCACACACACATCAGCCAGTTCTAATAATAACCCCCACTGAGGTCAACAATTCAACTCACTACTAAACTCACTCTCCGATACAAAAAAACTGCGTAAAAAAAGAGCTATTTCCTCCCTTTCTTTTCTTTGCAAGTCTCTGCATTTTGGAAACTTGCAGCGGTACAAGGATAAACAAAGGGTTATACTTTATGGGAAGGAAAAGCAAATTGTTTTTCTGCTTTCCAACAAAACAGCTGGAGTCAGCAGAACATCATCTACTGGGCAAACGAAAAGGCAGCCACAGCGTGACCTATCAAGCTCGGCCATCCAATCGTTACCAGCCTAACTCTCTTAAAGATTAACTTCTATTTCTATTAAACTTCAAAACAACTGAGGAAAAATCCATTCTAAGCAACAACAGCAGCAACTTTAGCATGTTTACAATAGGAATGAACATAACGAGAATGCAGAACTAACTGTCAAGAAGACCAAAGTTTCCAAGTTTTAATGACAGCATGGAGAGGTCATCCAAGAAAAGATCACTCAGGGAAAGTCCTTCCAAAAGTACAGCAAATCAAGCAAGTACTGAAACCATCTGATCTTAGAATAAGCTTTACCGGGACTATCACCCAGAAAAATATAGGTGATAACTACTTTAAACGTTTTTAAGTACACTGTTACTCTGTCCCTTACAATGACACCCAGAGGAAAGGCACTCCTTTAAAGCTGTGAAAAGGCAAAAGTGGAAAAATACTCCGAATTGAAGTGCAAGTTTTTCTGCTGACTTGTTTAAGTTCCTATGCCCAAGAGTGCCAACCGGCGCTGGCCTGAACAACACCAATGAATAAGAAACTGTCTCCAGGCTCCCTCTGAACAGGCACTTAGCCGGCTAACGGCCGGGGGTTTCACAGGCAGCACCCCAATAACTCCTATTCTCTGCCTTGCTATTCCCTTTTCCAAGATGTAAGTTTTACCTAGATTGAAACGGTACCACACGTAAATTTAGCATTATAATTTCTCTGTTTCTTCCCATTTTTTAAAAATAACTGAGTTATAAAATTATAATCTGAAATAAGCAGACAGTTTGTGATTATTTGGATTCAAAGAAGGTTTTAGATTACTTCTTGCTGTGCTGACTTTATATATTTGGGTTTACTGAGAGTCCAAGAATCCCAGAAGTTAAAGTTCTCCAAAGAGCTACACAAATGTTTGCTTAGTAAGTGAACAAAGAGAAGGCATGTTTATTCTACATTATTTTTCAATTACTTTTATGAAAATCTCTACCACCCTTTGGAGATGCATATCCATATGCCCACAACAAAGAAAATCACCTCTTCTACTCATTCTGAAAATTCACACAAATATCCACTTCTCTGACTCCGTGTCTTTCCGTTCGTCTGTGCTCCTACAGAAAACTAAGACTCCAGTCCTTTTCTGAAGCTGCTTTTAAAAAGCTCATCCTCTAGCTTCGGTAACAGCAGTGTGAATACACAGACAGCAGCCAAGAAGAGGAAAGCAACACATTCCTCCCCTCCCACTTCGCTTTTAACCAAACAGCACACTGGGAAAATACGGTTAAGAGGAACAGGGCCATTAGAAGTCATGTCGGCTATAACAGAGATTAAGCCAACAAATCACCAAACACGCCAGTATTAGAACTTGAACCATTTGTATTGGGGCAGCTTTTCATCCAGCTCCACAGCTTTTTCATGAGGGGAAAAAAAAAAAAAAAAGATATATATACACATACATATACACGCAATGCAGGTGGAAGACCAGGATTTTAACGGCAATTTTCCCCCAGAAGTGAGCACTATCGCAGTTAAGGCTGTAATTTTTTCCAGTCCTTCTTCATTTCTCAGTCCTTCTTCAGAAACATCCCACACAGCCCGAATGGCTCCCTTAATGAAGAGCTAAAGACGATCTTATCATGGCAAAGTATTCAGACCTAAACACGCACTAGAAGGCAACGTTTCTCTCTAGAAAAATCTGATGCTAAAGGTCTGAACTTGTTTCCAGTTTCTGTAACGATGTACTCAAAACTGAGCATGGCTCCTTACCCAGAGCACAGCTACATTTCCTTCTCAGACCTCCCTAAAACACACTGTAAAGTGACACACCATAAACTGTTGTGAATTAGTGTGCGAATGAATAAAGCAAATGGAATAGGAAAGCCAAATCAGAAGCATCCAGAACAATGTTTCTTCTCTTCAAACACAACCCAACATGCT